GTGGAGGTGCGGGGCACTACAGTTGCCTTGGTGAGGCGAGCCGGAGTATCGTGTGTCGCCGGCCGAAGAACAAGCGAGTGTCGCTGAGAAGAAGAATGCGACGTTCGCGCGGAGATGGGGCATCCAGAGGTGGCCACGTCAGGTCCAGAGGCCGTAGCGGCGGCCGTGGCGATGAAGATGACGGGTCTGATCAAAGTGAGTTGACTCGTGTGTTTAAATAATAGAAGCCAAGATGCAGGCGTTCGTCGTCGACAAGTCTATGTCTATTGTTCATGTTCTCATGATCATCCGTCGATCTCGGTTCCAACAATTGGTATCAAGAGCCTAGGTTAGGGAGTGGAGAGCAAGTTGAAGATGTCGACATTGAAGATCAGAGACTCGAGCTCCAACAGCCTCAGCGATGGCGTACCACGTATGGTCATGGTGGAGCATGTCTTTGGCGGCATGGCAGAGATCCCAAAGCCTCGTCGTGGGATTCGTTCGTGCTGGTGGCGGCTGACATGAGGTGGCGATCAACGGCGGTGGTGCGCTGAGGGACCAGGCCATGTGTCGGTCCTCGAGTGCGTGCCTGTGGCGGCACGAGGCACCATGGCAATGGTCCGTCCATCGGTCCCTGCCTTGGTACGACTAAGGCGTGCTGGTGGTGGCGGTGTTCGCCAACAGATACAATGCGATGAAGCTCCAGACCGTGTGTCGGTCTGTGGAGGTGTGCGGCACTACAGTTGACTTGGTGAGGCAGAGCCGGAGTATCGGCGTGTGTCGCCAGCCAGAGAAACAGCGTGTGTCGCTGAGAAGAAGACTGCGGCATTCGCGCGGAGATGGGGCATGCAGAGGTGGCCACGTCAGGTCGGGAGGCCGTAGTGGCGGCCATGGCGATGAAGACGACGGCAGCTGCAGCAACTCCGGCAACGACAAGTCAAGATTAAGGGGAGTTTGTTGAAAATAATCATGACTTGATTTAGTTTATGTCATGTAGCTCACGTTCTATTATTAGAGTACGTGTGAGTCACGTATTTGTGAGGTTGCTTGTAGTTGAACGAGATGTGTTCTCGTGGAAAAACTAGATAGGCATTAGTTTGTTAGCTGAGTCTAGGTGATGACCGAGTAATGAGAAGATGGTGTTGGAGGCATCGCATGGTGCATGCGTGAGCACGGCTTGTGGTCAGTTCGAACGACCCAGAGGCACCATGGCAATGGTCCGTCCGTCGGTCCCTGCCTTGGTACAACTAAGGCGTGCTGGTGGTGGCGGTGTTCGCCAACAGCTACGATGCGATGAAGCTCTGGGCCGTGCGTTGGTCTGTGGAGGTGCGGGGCACTGCAGTTGCCTTGGTGAGGCAGAGCGGGAGTGTCGGCGTATGTCACCGGCCAGCGAAACGGCGTGTGTCGCTGAGAAGAAGACTGCAGCGTTCGCGTGGAGATGGGGCATGCAGAGGTGGCCACGTCAGGTCGGGAGCCGTAGCGGCGGCCGTGGCGATGAAGACAACGGCAGCTGCAGCAACTTCGGCAACGGCAAGTCAAGATTAAGGGGAGTTTGTTGGAAATAATCATGATTTGATTTAGTTTGTATCATGTAGGTCACGTTCTATTATTAGAGTACGTGTGAGTCATGTATTTGTGAGGCTGCGTGTAGTTAAACAAGATGTGTTCTAGTGGAGAAACTAGATAGGCATTAGTTTGTTAGCTGAGTCTAGGTGGTGACCGAGTAATGAGAAGATGGTGTTGGAGGCATCGCATGGCCCATGCGTGAGCACGGCTTGTGGTCAGTTCGAGCGACCCAGTCCTGCGGAGGAGCAACTTGCGCTGGAGAGAAGTCTGGCCGGTTCATGTGGATCATGTGCATCCGTTGCGCATGTGAGTTCGTGGCTATGCATGAACTAAGGGTGTGTGTTCATGCGTGGCTTAGACTGCAGGGCTATATATAGCCGATGTAATGCGTCTGATCAAAGTGTCCCGAGTCGTGTGTTTAAATAATAAAAGCCAAGGTACAGGCATTCGTCGCCGCAGTGTTCATCGCCGGCAAGCCTATGTCTATTGTTCATGTTCCTGTGATCATCCGTCGATCCTCGGTTCCAACACGGGCGGGGTGCGCTGATGGCTGTCCCCTGTTAAGCATCACTGCAGTAGTCTCCAACGTGACCCTGATACGCTCCTGTTCGGGGGTGCGATTGGCCAGATTTCGTAGAGCATGGGCTATGTACATGACATTGGCTTGTGGGGTGTTGTAGACGCGGTGTCCTGCAACTCCTGGAAGTCGGAATCGAGGTTGCATGCCATTGAGCTTAGCCTCTAGTCACGGCGACGGTGTTGCTCTTCCTGCTCGCGCTCCTTACGGTCTCGCTGTTCTGCCGCGAATCGCTCCTGCGCAACACGCGATGTCGAGCACGGATGCGTCGTTGTTCACGTTGCTGTTTTTTCTTAATCCGCTTCGCCTTGTCCGCTTCCGTCTCATTGCTTGTGCTTTCCACGTCGATGGAGATGTCCTCCAATTCCTCGTCATGTTCGTTGATGTCTGGCCGCAGGATGAAGAAGACCTCCCGGTTATGACCGCAGCTAATGGTGTTGTTGGTGCATATAGCTCAGTGGTGGTGGGGCAGAGTTCAGTGGTCGTTGCCTCCTCTAGGGAAGATAGCGTGGCGCTGACTTGATATGGTAGCTGCCCCATCATGCCGACTGTACCTGGGATGGATCATATGGATTCCCGAGTAGCCGAATTCTTGGCCAATGCACGATCTTTCCTTCTGACGTGACGGAGAGGACCAGGCCTTCTTGAGCGCCTGTCAGAGGGATTCCTTGACCCTCCTCCGAGATTGGAGTGGATAACATGGTCTTCAAGACCGACTCATGGTAGACAGAGGCGGTATTCCTCAGCCCGAGTGGGAGTCAGGCTAGGTGGGGACCGCTGTTATCCAATGGCATCAGAGCCAACCCGGAGAACGTAGTCGTGTCCGAGTAAGACTTGAACTGGTTGAGTTGATTCGGAGTCCGAGTAGGATTGAAAATCGAAAATTCGCCGATTTTCTTGACGAGATCCTCCAGTGCGTCTTGACGAGTTGTTGGAGCAGTTCAATCCACTGTGATCTCCACGAGGCGACTTTGGAGCTTGCCATAGTCATCCGATGTGCAGACCCAGGAACCGAAGGTGAAGGTAGATCCCGCTAGGAATGTCATGGTGATGTCAAGGTCCATCGAGCTTCTGATCACGAATTCACCGAAAGCCCCTACATGGCGCGTCAGCTGTCGGTGTCTGATGACCGACAACACGTTACGGGGCTACCTGGAATGATGTTAGGTGGGCTTCGACGTATGCTGAACTCGACAGTGAACGCAAAGACAACGATTTATACTAGTTCAGGCCGCTAGAATAGCGTAATACCTTATGTCCAGTTAGGTGTATTGCCTTGCGTTAGATTGTTGTGTATGAGATGTGTAAAGGGGGTGCCCCTACCTTTCTTTGTATAGTCCAGAGGTCAGATGCTTTAATCTAGTCCTAGTCGGTTAAAACAGAAGAGTTCTAATCTAATTACAGAGTTAGACTTTCATATAATCTGACTAGGTCGGTCCTTGTAGCCTTGGAGAACACGCCACCTTGTTCTGCGCCCTCTAGGCAGACCTTGGGCCAACCCATCTCCTTGCCGACTAGTCGACCCTATAGGTAACCCTTAGGATGTTGGTCCATCATGGAGACAACAAATTTTATATTAAAATTATAGACTTCGGTTAGATCTACGGTTTTAGTTGAAAACATTTTCATTTAAAATCATTGATAGGCCCAAATATTCATGAGAAATTCTCATATCTATTTTAACAAGGAAATTTTTGTGGGCCAATTCCAGAGGAGTTTGTTTAAGTCCACCGCTTCTAAAATGATTTCTACATGCAGTTGGATTGGATCATGCCAATTTAATTCTGTACCTAAATTTAATATTTGAGCTAGGCTTTGGTTTTTTAAATACACAGGAAGGGGCTCTTTGCAGATTATTGTAGAGATTGGTTATATTAAGTTCTAGTTCAAGTCAGATTAAAAATTTTACTTAGATAATTTTGGTATATATTCCTCGCTCCTCGCGATCATCTTTTTTCCTTGGACGAATTGAAAGTGGATCATTGGCATATTCTTACAGGTCAGCTTTTAGAATCTAATTATGTACTTGGTCACGGCGATAGAAACAATAGTAGTCGAGTTTCATGTCTGCTACTTCAAAGAGTAACTCTCAAATGTGGTATGTCAGGAAAGCTAAAGCTAGCATGATCACATGAATTTAGGGTGTTCATCCTTTCTTAGGATTTAAGTTAACAAGTAGGTATTCCAAGGCAGGAGCAAGAAATTGAAACTCATACCCTAGCTAGTGTTGTTGATTTTTTAGAAGGGACGGCAAAAGCTTTGCCGTAATTTTTATTAGACGGAGAAAATAAAAATACAAGGGTCGGCCTAATTTTTTGAGTGGAAACCGGACCCAAAAACCACCAACTGGGAGAGTCCAAAACTCATCCTGACCAACCTTTGAAAACATCATCCAAACAACTAACGACTTTACCCCACAACTTGCTCAACCTTGAGCCAACTTGGTCGAAAGCGACCCAAATAGCAACTCAACTGCACTGACGACAAACTATCAACTAGAGCAACTAAGAACAACTCCAAACAAGAACCAAATACCAAAAACAACTATCTCTGCCAACCATCATCGAGCACAACCAATGACGAGCAGCCGAGCAACACCAACGACAGCATGATGCTTTGCCCTGTCAAGTAAACATATTTGTTCTCCGGAAGGCCTCGACCATCTGGTATTGATGAAGCAACTCAGTTCAGAAAGAGGCCCTACGCTCAACTTCAATCCAGCTGAAACACTATCAGATACTCTTGAAGATGTAGAACTCATATCCCACGATCAACTTTGGTCTAGATGAATCACTTCTTAATACACCTTGAAACTGTGAAAGTTCACGGCAACTAAAAAGGAATTGGCACCTAAAAACCCAGAACAGTGACAATATAATCATGCAGGTAGATGCACTATCGGTGTCACCTTGGAGGTTCTTCCCTTTTTCTTCTTTGGGTGTATACCATGATCAACCAGAACTGTTAATGCTTCCATGTTTTGCTTGGTCAAGGGCTGTTCAAGATGTTGTGCAAAGCTGTTGAACAGATCAGACGCGCTGATTTTTGTGGGAGGTGACAGATTGCCTAATTTCTTTGCAAGAACCTCTTGTGCCAATTGGACATACCTTTTTCCTTGTGTTTCCTTGGCTTTATCAGCTAGCCGACTACTTTTTCGTTGCTCACTATGCAAGCTGTGAGTTTGATCCCTGGTGGTGTTAGGTAGCGAACTTGCACGACATGGTGGGGTTTCAACTTCAGGTGGAGTGTGGTGTTCTTTCAGTGTGGGGTGTGAAGCCAGTAAAGGCTGTGGTAGTGGAGTTGTGATGCTGATGAGGAATTGATCTAAAGCAGTGTTGGAGTTGGTGCTATCAATCTGTGATTCAGCATTTGTTGCATTATCTGTGTGGCACAATGGTTCAGCGCCTGCATCTTCTGAGTTCACTGGGTCAATGACTTCCAGGGTTGTTGGGGAAACTGAGTTGTTATTTTCCTTAGGCTTCTCCAAGATGGTCTCATCATAGTGGTGTGGTGTATCAACATCAGCCACAAGCCCTTCTATATCCGTTGATTGGTTCGATAGTAAGGTCCTGTCCTGACTAGCTGCAGCATCAAACATCGCCCGGAGCTTTTTTCCAGAAGATCTAGTCGGAGACATCAGGAGAGGTTGTGGATTAATTATTGGTGTCCTAGTGATGAGCGACTCAAAAAACATGGGATCGCTAGAATAAATGCTTGGTCCATGGGCAAGTGTAGTGAAAGAGTTCTCCATGAGGTTGTAGCTGTTATCTTCGATGATTAGTTTTGCCTTGTCCCCCATGATCTGGGTGAGCGGTGTCAGCAAAAGTGGCATGCTTTGGTAGTGTCCTCTTGTTGCTCTGTTCGCCCATTGGTTTCATCATGGCGTGTGGTGGGTCACGATCGTCGGAGTACCAAAACATAGGTGAAGATGCCCTCCTGTAATGCCGGGGACCCTTGTCTTGCAAGCTTTCATCCAAGTGGTCATGAGTTTCATAATCATTTTCTTAACGTCGCCTCTGATTCAACAACTGAGAGAAGGGTTCGCTGTCCCCCCGACAGGCAGATGCTATGTGTCCTCCTAGGCACCGCCAACACCTTGTTAATCTATTGCAGAAAGCCACTCTGTGCATAGTAGAAAGGCAATTTAGACAACGTCCTCGTACATGGTTGAGAAATCTCTGCCTCCTCTCCTCTTGTTGGTGGGTTTGGATATGATTGTTGTAAGTCTCTATCCGTTGTGTTTCTAAATTCATTTCGTGGGTAGCTGAATTTCTCTTTTGATACTCACCAGTTTTTCTCCACCAATCTGAAGGCACTCTCTTGTCGCACCCAATTTTAAGAATAAAATGGGATGCAAATTCTTATATGCGCCCAGAGATCAGTCACACACATAAGCCGACAAATTATGAATAGTATTATCGCAAGTGTTTATTACATCACGAATAAGACAGAGTTATCACATAAATGTAGCGGAAATAGTAAAAGATCTCTCGCGGAAGCTCCATTTCACAGGGATGTCGACTGGTTGACCACAAGTCTAGAAGTCCTTAGAAAAATCATCATACCCATAGTCATCTGTTACCCATCCGGGATTTTTATCCAAATAATGAAAATAAACAAGCATAAGTACATGTCGTACTCAACAAGTGTAACATGGGGTTTATGAGGCTCAAAAAGCTTGACACAGGTTTAGCAGCATTCAGCTTTTAGTTGTTACAATTTTATCTTAAGAGTAGTAACAAGTTGTTTCAATTCCCAATGCAAAACACATGATCAAATGTAAACATGAATAAGGAATAGCGTAAACAGGTAATACTTAGTGTTCATCTATTCCATAAGGGTTCCAAGACTGTTCGTGACCATGAGCACGGCTGATATATCAGTTTTTCACTCTGCAGAGGTTGTACACTTTTACTGTGAGTTGTGATACCTATATGCCCGGATTAATTACTCCCAAAACACTTCCGAGGTGAGCAGGCAGGGGTCACTATGAAACATTTCAAAGGTTCGTCTAACAAGTTAGAGCCATTAGATTCACTCGGAAAACAGATGTAGGGCCCCCCTTCCCGATGGTACATTGATACGCAGCCTATACACATGGGAACAGAGGCCGCACTATACCCGATTCGTCAAACCATTCTTACGCCACTAAAGGTAACCACTAACAAGCTACAAAAGGTCCACATACTGAGTTAAAGCCAGAGCCATGTAGCCCTCACAGTTGTACTGTAAATCCTGAATGATCACTTACAGATAAGTCATTAGGGAGAGGAATCTAGAGCATTTAGAAAGTAGCTAAATACTCCAGTCCCCTGTTTTCAAGTTGCTAAAAATCATATTTTAATGTTTATTACATATATCATTAGTCAAGTTATAAGATCATGGTTTAATTGAGCACTAGCAAAGCCACCCAAATGCATAACCTGTAGGTAACAAGGTAAAAGTTCAATTCTAGGGGATCCCTATCAAGGCGACACATGCAACATGAATTTAATGAATTAAAGTGAATAGGAAACAAGAATGATCCCATGCTATACTTGCCTTGAGCAAAGTACTCCTGCTGGTCCTGCTCGTCAAAGTTGTACCCTTGATCTCCCACGAATTGCTCGCCGTCTATACTCGATAACACAGCAACATACAAACATTCAGGAGCAATCATGCGAAGCAAACAAAGCTATAGATTAGAACAGTACACCAACAGCATAAAATCAAGATGAAAAATTTGGAAATTGAATCTATGTCTCGCTACGAACACACAGACACGAAGATCACAAAAATCGGAGCTAAAACAAAAAATTATGAATTAAACAAGTTTTCCTTTAGTAAAATAATAGATTAAATCTAACCTTGAATTTTAAAAGTTGAAAACCTACTTAACAGTAGTATAAACACGTAGATTACTTAATTATGAACCTAACGCAACTTCAACGGATCAAATCGGAGTTAAAACGGAGATTTTATGGCTAAAACAAGTAGAGTGGCAAAATTGTAAATAACTGAAAACGTATTTTCAATCAAGAGGAAATTCCTTGTGTGCCATTAAAAAAGATCGCAATGTCCTGTGTGCCTCTAGAAAAGTTTAGCGGTCTTCAGCGTCACTGCTCCAACTTTTTTGTGCTCTCCATGCCACTGCCGTCAGTTGGGCTCTAACACCGTCAAACTGCAGGTGTGAAGTCGAAAGTAATCTTAAGACTAAATATGTCATTAATTTTTTTTGAGCATCTTAACGACTTCAAATGAAAAAAAAACTCAAAACTAGAAAGTTATAGATCTCGTCGAGGTCTATAATTTTCATATAAAAATTATCTTCATTTAATTCCGTAAAAAAAGATATGATTTTTCTAAGATATATTAATCATATCAAATCATATTTTTTGCGGAATTAAATGAAGATAATTTTTATATAAAAATTATAGATCTCGACGAGATCTACGACTTTCTAGTTTTGAGTTTTTTCATTTGAAGTCGTTAAGATGCTAAAAAAATTAATGACATATTTAGACTTAAGGGTATTTTCGACTTTTCACACCTGCAGTTTGACGGCGTTAGAGCCCAAACTGATGGCAGGGGCATAGAGGGCACAAAAAAGTTAGAGCAGTGGTGCTGAAGACCGCTGAACTTTTCCAGGAGCACACAGGGCATTGCGATCTTTTTTAATGGCACACAGGAAATTCCCCATTCAATCTAACCGAATCAAAATACGCTTTCAAAAGAAGAAAACAGAATCTTGAAAGACGCTAGGGACGGCGGGTTAATACTGAACTAATTATAAGGGCTCTTATGCAAAGTTTCAGAACGAAGGGGTATCCTTCATCCTGGGCCGCCAGATTAGAGATGGACGGCCGAGATTCATCTGAGCGGGGGGAGAGTGAGAGCCACGTCAGAACAGGGCCGGCAGCGAGGTTGACCACGGCGGCGCCATTAGAGAGCTCACTGGAGCTTGCGGTTAGGAGGCTACAGCGCTCGATTTTTCAAATGGAGAAGCCCGGGAGATAGAGGGGAGATGGGGAACTCACCAGACCCAAGAGGAGCTAGCGAGGAGCAATGGAGGCGGCGCGGCGCTTCGACGGTCGGCGGCTGTCGCGGCGGCGCTAGGGCGAAATGTGGCTGCGGCTGGCATGGAACGGAAAGCTTGCTGCGAGGCAGGATAAGGAGGCAGAGAGGGATCGACTAGCTATTTATGAGGCAGGGATTACTTGGGAGGCACGGCGCGGCTCATGGCAGAGGCGGACACGGCGTCGGCACGGTGGTCTCTAGCTCTGTTACGGCGCGAGGAAGGAGAAGGCGCCCTGACGGGTGGCCCCGGTGCATCAGCTGGATGGGAATGTGGCGCAGCGCGTGGAGCTGGGCCAGCTGCCTTGCTGGACCGCTGCAGGATAGGGGACGCGGGGCACTGCGCGACCTGGGCCGGGCGCTCGGCTGGGCCGCGCGGAGTGAAGCGGGCCAGCGCAGAGAAAAGGAAAAGAAGCAAGCCCGTGCGGAAACAGGTCGCGCGGGTGGACTAGGCCAGCAGGCTGGAAACGGGAAAGGAGGAAAGAAATTCATTTTTCCTTTTCTAATTTTTCCAAAGCAATTTCAAAAAAAAATTCAACTCAACTTGAAACCCGACTTCAAACCAAGCAATACAAAATATTATGCAACAGCATGAATGCACACTCATGTATGTTAACCTATATTTGATTTTAATTTAATAAAATTATTATTTCCCTAAATTCAATTACCCACAAAATGCATAACAAATCAATTTCCTCTATTTTGAAAATATGCAAATTTTAGGGTGTTACAATTCTACCCCCTTTAAAATGAATCTCGTCCCCGAGATTCGGACGATGCTTACTCAAATAACTACGGGTATGTTTTCCTCAAATCCTCTTTTCTTTCTCAAGTAGCCTCATCTTCTGTATACCAATTCCACTGAACCTTACACATCTTTATAACTCAGCTCCTTGTAACTCTTTCTACCGTCTCTAAAATCTTTACTGGAAACTCCTCATATGTGAGATCTTCCTTAACTGTAAGCTCTTGTAACGGTGTCTGCTCCTCTGGTACACGTAAACACTTCTTTAGTTGAGACACATGGAACACATCGTGCACACCTGACAAACTTTCAGGCAATTCCAACTGATAAGCTACTTCTCCACGTCTCTCTAAAATCTTGAAAGGTCCAATATACCTTGGTGCTAACTTTCCTTTCATGTTAAAGCTTCTAACACTTCTCATAGGTGACACCTTCAAGTAAACATAATCACCTACTTTGAAAACCAATTCTCTTCTTTTAGTGTCGGCATAGCTCTTTTATCAAGACCGAGCCACTCTCAAGTTATCTCTGATCATCCTTACTTGCTCTTCTACGTCTCTCAGAACATCTAGTCCAAACACTTGAGTTTCTCCCGTTTGATTCCAAAACAATAGGGTTCTACACTTTTGTCCATACAAAGCTTCGAAAGGTGCCATATTGAGACTCTTCTGGTAACTGTTGTCGTATGAGAACTCTACTTAAGGCAAACTCTTGTCCCAACTTGTATTGTACTGCAATACACAAGCTCTCAACATATCCTCCAAAATCTAATTAATCCTCTCTGTTTTCCCATCTGTCTGAGGATGATATGATGTACTAAAATTCAGCTTCGTTCCCAACAAACTATGTACTTGCTGCCAAAAATGAGATGTAAATTGAGTACCTCGATCAGACACAATTTTCTTGGGAACTCCATGTAGACGCACTATCCTCTCCATGTATAACTGAGCTAACCTCGATCCATTATAAGTAGTCTTGACCGGTAAGAAGTGGGCAACTTTAGT